GTCGACGAGGGCACAGAAGAGAGGGATCCTACGTATTCAAATTCAATCTGATACACACAGACACTGAATAAAGGATGTTTTGGGCACCTTACAACTCAGTTTAATCACAGACAGGATCAAGCGTGCGCCACAGTGGTCGAATGAGACCTTCTCACGGTGCGGAAAGCTCTCCACTATAAATGATCAGCAGTTCACGAGTCACAGTTTTCAGCAACAGCCACCTCTCTCCCATGGTTCCCGCAGGACTATACCGCTTTCTCGCATGGTGTTCCGCTCAGGGTATGTACCAGGTATTGGCCCGCTGGTAGGTTGCAGAAGGACGGAAACCCAGAGATCACATTCCTATAGATAACTCGAATCCTGGTGTTTACCCTGGACTGAGGCCGATCAGGCCTAGTCAGGCAGGGGTCGGGTTCACCACTGACCACAGCAGCGTTGCAACCCAATCGAACTCGAACTTTACGGCAGTGGGCACGATGACTGGGTGTGAGCGGTTGCTGTCGACGTCATTGAGGAAGCACTGCGAGAGGGCATTTGGCCAAACCCCACTCGGCCCCTCCACCAGTGCAGTAACCGCCCGTCCCAGTCATCGTGCCAACTGCCTTCGCTCTTGACCAAAACAACATAGCAGTTGCCATGATCAACTGTCTACCGTATAGATGACACAAGGTTTTCCGGCGCTCAAACCGAGCTGCCTCCCCTTCCCTGGCGCTTTCAGTCTCATATACCGAACAAAATTTGAAATTAACATTTACTGCTATATGCTTCCTTTGACCTATCCTTAGAGCCTGCCGGGGCTGTATTGACCGTCGATCTGTCGTCTTCGCCATTTTCCTAGCGGTGACAGCATCCTGCGTATGTGCTGCAGCCCACAGTTGGCCGGCTCTCAGGTGTAACGGGAGCAGGCCTCAACCAGCACTCCGCTAGGCACGAAGGCGAGGCGACACCCTATGTACTCACCCGCACCACAAGTGACATTCATTTCTGGGGGCTTCCTGCTGGCGGGGTTGCTCCGCCACTAACTCTTTACATTCCAAGTGATGAAAGCTCGCTAATAGGGTGGAGGGGGGGGGGAATAGCTGATATCGTGGCGATACCAACATGAGAGGACATTTGCGAACAAATCTTTTGCTTCATACTCGTACGAGCTCGACTCTACAACGGGGCCTTATCTAGGGCTCATGGGGAGGTATTCTGCCTGTGCAATGCTTGTCAAGTTTGAAATAGTGAGAGACACTTGTACCACAGGATGAACTTTTCGGGGGGGGGGGAAAGGAGTTGTACTGACAGTGCCAGTCCAACCAGGTCGGTGCTATACCCGGCCTATAGGAACCACTCTCCATTCACGACACCCTAGGCTCACGACTTGTCCCTCGTCAGCAGGGGCAGTCGGAGAAGTGTCGTCGACAGGAGCTAGTCTCTTGCAGATATCCTATCTCCCAGCCCGCCCCCCCCCCCCAACGGTAGAGCCCAGGGCCTTGTGTTAGTCCATTTCTTCTATGGAGAAAGCAAGAGTTTGAGATGGGAACCCACAAAGCGGGTTTGTCGACTTCGCTCGGATATAGGTGTTCGCAGGACGCAAGTGGTACCGCCGTTCGGAAGGCAATGGATGTCCACTGTGTTTAGGTGAACGCCATCGATGTGTTACGTAACATGTCATTCCTCAACTCGTACAAGTAGCGGGGACTCGTGCCACACCTCTATAGTAGACCTCAAGGAGAGTTGGCCTGCGCGGCGTGATAAGGTGAAGCCTTTTTGCGACGTGAACAAGGATTATGCAGGTGTACAGTTATCGAGCGTCATCCTCGCCATGCGTTTCTATTCCTACAGCGATATGAAGCAATTTGTCGAGGATGTTTTCCTTGCAGGTTCATAAGCAGAGAGTCCATGACTTCCTCTGTAACTGCTTGGGACTAGTGAAGCAGGGAATCTCCATAGTCATAATGAGGTCGTCGCGCAGTTCGCCATGCATTACATGGCGCTTGCAACGGGAGCGGCTGGATGACTGTCTCGTTATGTACAGGACCTTTACCAGCGCTCGCATGCATGCCTCTGATGATGAAAACTGAAGTATAGATGTAGACCGCTTCAACCCAACAAAAAGCAACAGCGAAAACCATCCAACAACTTTATTCAGTAGTAGAAATCCGTGTGTCTTGGATCGTAATATACAGCGTCCCATTCTCCGTTTGCATCGTTGAGCTTATAAACACCCTCGTTGGCAACCCATCTATTATCAGTCCCACACTTCGTGATCTTATACTCTCTGAAACGTAAAATTATTTGACGAACACTCTTTTTTTTGATTGGTGTAGGTCCCACCTTAACATTTTCTCCTCTCCAGTTGGCTTTGCATCCTTGATCGTAATCCAGAATGCAAAAGGTGCCTCATGATACATGTCCGAGAAAGCGAATCCACTGCCCGGCGACGTCAGTGAGCGACCATGAATTGTCTTGGCCGCAGAAATTAGTGGATTCGAGGGTGGACTCTCATTTCTTCTTTCGTCACCCTCCCGAAGAATCACGGAGTACAATCCCATACCAACATCATTTATGTTTCCATTGTATGTGATGGTACTGACGCCGGTAAATAAATTGTGCCTTTGGGGCACTTCGTGTCTTTCTGAGATGAGCCTCGTTTTTTTGTCGAAGAATACTATAAAAGTACGGTCGATTCTCAGTTTCCATGTGCCATATGTATCGGCAGCTGGGCATGCAGTTCCTTGCGTGTCCCACGTGAACTGAAATACTTTCTGGTATCATCTACAGTCGTTATCGTGGCATATAGTGAGCTAATCATAAAACAACAAAAGTCCCTGAGGTGTGTTGAAACTGCGGTCAAGCGATCACAAATGATGGGTGCTGGGACTCGGATACGGACGACAAGGAGGTAAACAACCCGTTCCGAAGAAAAGGGATGAAAAACGATTCCAAGAGGCTCTAGAACGGTCCTACCGAGCACCCCCTGGCCCCCTTTCCCCTTCACAAGTGCTGCATACTAGTAGATGAAGTCTGCCTGTTCTCTCAATGTGACCTTACA